TTTAGCCTACTGTACAGTCTCATTTGTTTGCGGTGAAACTGGTGATGGAAATCCACTTTGTATATTATTTACTGGTCATGTTGTGTCACAGTAGAGGTAACATGGTGATGAGGTAGCATCTCTTCCATTAACCCGCTGCATCACTGTCATGATCTGATTGGCCAATGAAAACATATCAATACATCTTTGGAAATACACAATAATCACCTCTCTTCAGCTCCATGCAGGTACGTGTAGACTTCAGCCCCCCAGGACCCTCTGTTCATGTCCTATGTTCATAGATCAAAAGCAACAAACAATACCCCCATCATCATCATCATCATCATCATCATCATCATCACCAACTTTCCCTAAGAAATCCAAACCTATGTCTTTTTGCGTTATACAAACAGTATGAAGATACTGTTTGTATAACGCAATTAATCCCAACAGTAGTATTTTTATTCTAAAGGTCATACATTTAAATGTTCCATGTTTTGTTAAAAGTAAATTTTGTGGGTCATTATAATAAATGGTCTTGGCTAAAGATTGGCAGGAACAGATTGTGATGTCTGTCATTTGGACATGTGAATTTAGTTTCTAAAGATTAAAAAGAAACTGACATGAAGTCAGATGGCTTGGGCCCTTCTGGAGCCCTATCAGAGACCTCAGCTTGTCCTTGGACCAAAGTCTGCGTACCTCAGTTGTCCCGTTTGTTTACTGTTTGCTCTGAGTTGCAAGGCAAACAAACAGGGATAAATGTGTTGGCAATGAACTGACATGTGTGTAGTTCGGTGGGGGGGTATGAGGTTGTCCCCATAGGATGCAGACTGATGGAGGACAGCCAGTCTTTGTAGCAGAATGAGGCCTATCATGTTTCTGCTAAAGCTCTTTTCCAAATGACTTTCAGCAACTTCACCTCAAATGACAAGAAGTATCGCTGCTGAAAACAACACATAAAGTCACACACAGCTTAAACCTGCAGTACTCAGCAATTCAGCATTTGAAGTAATAATCTTGAAAATACAATTGAATCAAATGTGGACATTTTGCGTTTCTTTGTGGTTGTTTCGTGTCTCTTTGCAGTTGTTTTGCATCTCTTTGGAGTTTCTCTCAGACATTTTGCATGTGAAGCCCGGGAGCCTTGTGACCGCTTGGACCCCTCAGCCGGTGTCTGTTGGTGCCTGTTAGCAATCAAACCATGACTGTGTGGTTGAGTATAATGTTCTCATCAACACTCAATAGAAAATCATAATTAGCCACAAAACACTACACTACCTGGCTAACGTTAGCTCCAAAGGATAGAAAGTTAGCAGCTTGAAAGTGAAACATTTGGCTAAAGAGCCAGATGTTTCACTCAGGAGTTGGTGGAGACCAAACCTGAGCGGAACAAAGAGTGCAGATCGAACTTGATAATTGACAGTCGGACAGAAACACAACTTCAAATATATGCTAATGTGTCTGATAGAAGTGTAGGTAAGCTGTTGCTTGCTCACAAAAGATCTTGATAAGCTTATAGTATGTTAGCGTCTGTGCTTGTTTCTGAGTTGTTCTGCCTTCTAGTGGTCAGAAATGATGGATGCGGCTTTAAGCTAAACACTGGTGACCTTGTGATTCGCTCCTCCAAAGGTATCTGTTGTAAGAGACCAGTTAGGTTCATCGTTGTCTTTGGCGCGTTATTATGAATCCCACTGCTCTTCTTCTTGACCCGCCTTCTGCAGCATTCAAGCGCTAGGATTGGCCAGGCGTCCATGCTCGCCAAGTTACTGGTGACCTGATTTGTTCTGGTCCTATGCCCTGACCAATGGGCTATGTCCTGACCCTGTCTACTCGAGGGCAATGCCTAACCTTAACCAATTGCCTCTACCTCAACCAGCTACGCAGGGCGGGTCTTGCCAAGAAGAGCAGTGGGGCCTTCACCAAGTCGACACCCCAGATTTGCTGGATATCAGTTAGTCATAATTTAATTAAACACATATTTGTTTGAAGATATGCACAAGCAATATCAACTGAAATATTCAAGGTATTGAAAAAAACATCGAGGGAAAATGCATTACCCACCTGATGGTGATTACCATCGTTTAATTATGCATTCTTGGTGCATAATACCAAACAAAACTGTATCATCAATGAATCAAATTTACACAAATGGATTTCCACACAAAAGACCTTTCAGGCCCCTGAGGGTCTGGGGCCCCAGGGCAGTAAGCCATTTACACTAGATGTCTGACCTTAGAAATCCTCGTCAGTTGTGTCAGTTAATGAACTACTGACTACTGAAACCATTTCATTAGTGAGTCTCACTACCGTGTGGTCCACAAGCTGTTTCAGACATGCCCCATTTCTCTAGTAGACATTAGATTTAAATGTTCATTTGTATTTATTTTTCTGTCAAAAACTATAACCTCATCCTAGTTGAATGATCCCCAGCAAGCCTGTGACAAATATGTCAATAAAGCAAGAGCAACAGAGCAAGATATACCCACAGCTGATTAGCATTCACCACAATACATCAGAGAGAGCACCAGTTCTCTTGATTTGCTTTCTGCCTGGCTTCAGTTTCTGAACATCTACTGTATACACCTAAACCAAAGAAATACTGATCAGAGTGCGGGATCATTTAAAAACCATTACAAACTGCTCACCTGTTGAACAGAACCCAAAGGTCCCCCCCTGCGGGCGACATGGTACACTCCACTGCCATATTAATCCATTAGAATGATCTGAGGACCTGAGGGGAGACTTAAACTAGGAGCGCCATCATTTACCGGTTGCTACAGCGCTGTAGCAGATACTGTGTGTGTCTAGCTTAAGTTACCTGGCCCTCTCTGGAGCATGCTCAGTAGAGACCGCTGTCACCTGAGAGGCACAGATGTCATGTTTAACTCCTCTCAGATATGAGCTTTTAACTTTAGTCCTTTCTATTACTTCCTTTTACCCAAATACCAATCTTGTTTATTAGGACCACAAAATGATTCCAAAAATGTCTCTTTTTTTATACATTTATTTCATTTAAGTTCTTGACTTTTTTCCTTATTATTAACAGCCAAAACCTGTGCTATGATCACATCATCCCACGACCAGGACTGTCTTCCCAGCAGCCCCGGGACACTCAATGATATCATGGTGGGCCTGGGCGGCCTTGGTGAGCGGGTACTGGGAGCCGACGACCGGACGCAGCCAACCAGCTTCCATCCCCGCGTAGAACAGCGCCGCACACTCCTTGTTCTCCTCCTGCGAGAGGAGGGAGGGAGGGAGGGAGGAAACATACGAACATTTAATTAAACATTGTATCAGGACGACTTGTGTGATGACAATGCTTCGTACCGATGTAGCGAAGGAAAGGGTCACTCCCATGATGCTGCTCTCCTTAGCCATGGTGTCTCTGGGGTCGATCTCTATGGAGCCTCTGCAGCCAATGATCTACAATGAAGGAGAGAGATAAGCGCGTATGAAGTAAGGCACAGGAACGAGCTACACTGGGATACAGCTTCTACTCTGGGTAATAGGGCCTAGCTACAGAGCTATAGAAGTCTAGGGGTCGTATTCACAAACCACCCTCTGGCTAAAAGTAGCTCCTAACTGGTGGAAAAATAAAGGCTGTGTCAGTCCTAACTTTTTGGTCTAAGAGTAATTCACGAGGCATTGCAGCGCTAAAAGTAGCTCCTCAGCTCCCCGAGAGAAGTTGGAGGAAGTCTAGAGGACTCCAGAGTCAAAATTTGAACAAATGTAATCTAGATTGTTCCTCGCTGCCCCTGTATACTGATGAATATTTCATTTGTCATTCACTGCTACTGTGAACCAATCAGTGTAGACATAGTATTCATAAAACACGATGTAATCCGTTGCAACAGGGTCAACCCCGCCCCTTCTCTTATCTTAAGCATTGTCTCTCTGCATTTTTGTGCTACTCTTAAAGGGACAGTTCAGCCCAAAATCGAAAATACTAATTTCCCCTCTTACCTGTAGTGCTATTCATCAATCTGGATTATTTTGGTGTCTCTACGAGACAGCTCACACCAAGCTATTAAGACTGATAAATAGCACTGGACTGCAGTCCTACTGACCGTAACACGTCCTCCCAAGGCCAACATGTGGAGGTCTTTACTGAGGTTGACATTTGACAGCATCTCTACTATCACATCGATGCCTCTGCCCTCTGTGGCTTCCTAGAACACACAAACACACACACACACACACACACACACACACACACACACACAGTTCATATCCCTGTAACCACCACTAAAACACCTGACAGAACTAAGAAACAAGGAATAAAAAGGTGATTAAATGTTTAAACGACCCTCGTTCATGGCGAGTTCCTTTCTTTCTTGTTTCCTGTGGGGTGTGTGTGTGTGTGTGTGTGTGTACCATGATTTTGTCCGTGTAGCCCTCTTCCCTGTGATTAAAGGCCAGGTGAGCTCCGTTGTTGAGGACCAGCTTCAGTCCCTCCGGCGTCCCTGCCGTCCCCAACACCTTGAGACCCAGAGCACGGGACAGCTGGCACGCTGCCACACCAACCTAAACATACACGCACACACACACACACACACACACGCACACACACACAATTACATGCAATGAGGATGTGGAAACCATTTGAATTTAATATATATATATATATATATATTTGGAAAGGAAGAAACAAAAAATGTCACCCCTCCACTGCCTCCATGGATGAGGACGGTCTCTCCAGCTTTGGCGTGGGCTCTGCAACACACATCAGTAAAAACACATTTGAGTCATAACATCTGTTCGACTGGCTTGTTTAAAGCGTAAGTCTGGTGTTGTATATTTTACTTATTGTAAACAAATCCTATGCAAAGGTTAAAACCAACAAGGCCAATGCAATCTGACTTCCCCACTCGACCCTGAGACCTCTTCAAGAATGTTCACAAATACATACTGTTGTTTCATTTTTTAAAAAGCCATTGGGGGAGTGTCTTAAAGCTGCATTCTCTCTACTGACCATCAGGGGGCGACTCCTCTGGTTGTATAGAAGTCTATGAGAAAATGACTCTACTTCTCTCTTGATTTATTACCTCAGTAAACATTGTAAACATGAGTTTATGGTCTCAATCTCTAGTTTCAAGTCTTCTTCAATACAGCATGATGTTCATTTAGTAAATTATGGTCCATTTAGAGTCAAACAGACCATAAAGCAGGGTATGCTTTAGGGTGGGGCTACACAGTGATTGACAGGTCTCTACAAGAGCGTTGTCCGGTCTGGGAGTTGTCTGTCTTACAACTTTAACCCTTTCACTGTGTTTTTAGATCATGAAAGGAAATTGTAACTATTTGGTTGACTAAAAATGAGTTTCCGGTTGTTCTTAGCTCCACCTTCTCGTGTCACTTGTGGTTGCAAAAAACCAATGGCTAAATGCCATGCTCAAGGATTCAGGACTGCAGTCCACAAACAGGTGACGTCATCCCCTTCTTACATACCGTCTATGCTTTCAACACACATAACTAGGTGTATTTGTTCGGGACTATTTTTAGCATTGTCCTGTTCTAGTGGAAGCTGGTTCCAACTGAAAAAGCTGAATCACAGTGCACACTCTTGGAAATAATACTTATACAACAACTTCATTCACTTTAAAGTGAAGTCCTTACGAAGTAACTTCCAGTGCACTTGTGCTGGTGTTGGTGACGGAAAGCGGAAAAAAAAAAAAAAAGCACATGTAATCTCATTTTGCATTATTATCTCTAAAACGGCATTAATTCATCTTTTTGTCCACTTGGGGGCGTTGTTTTGATGTGATGAAGCTGTCCACCTGAGTGAACTCTCTTCAGTAACCACTCAGCAGGTTATGATGAAATAAAACTTCTGCACGAATGGAAGTAAAAACAAAAAGTGAAATGAAAGAATGCAGGTTGAGCGCTGAGGTCTTACTTTTGAACCAGAGCCCTGTAGGCGGTGAAGTAGGGGATCCCTATGGCTGCACCCTGGGTGAAGTGTAAAGCATCGGGCAGCTTGTGGACACACTGGTCGGCTGCCACAGTGTACTCTGCATAACCTCCGGACTCTGTGGCCGTGGTGAACACACGGTCTCCTGCCTGCACACCACACACGTGGAATGGATTTACTGTGGTTGCATTGAAACCGTGGATAAGGTTAACTATGACGTCCACCGTTAGTTCTGTTTTTTGTTGTTGTGTGTGTGTGTTTTTTCTCAGACCTTTACTGTGGTCACTCCTTCTCCAACAGTTTCCACCACTCCGGCTACGTCTGTGCCCGGTGTGTAAGGCAGGGGGGGCTTACGGGGGTACGTCCCAGCCCGGATGTAGGTTTCCACGGGGTTCACTCCGCAGGCATGGACACGAATCAACACCTGCAGAGAGAGAGACATGGTCGAGCTGTAGATGGGTAGAAATATATGCAGAAAATAATTATGGGGACA